ATTAGTGAATGTGGAAATGAGGGGGATTCCTACAGGATTTCAAAGGGGGTTGTGGAGCAGACTGGGGGAGTGGGGTGGTCTTTTTTTTTTTTTCCTTCTTTTTTTACATTAAATGCCACGTTATCAGGTTGTTGGAGGGGGGATACTCGTTTTGTTCCACAGGTTGTCTTGAATCTGATCTTCCCATGTATATTCACAAGTAACCTAGGTTTGTGCTTAGGAAATTTGAGAGCGATACAAAGCTGGTGTTGTCAGTGCAGAGGACAAGATCGCCCTACAAGAAAAACAAGAGAAGCTTAATAGAACAAAGTACAAAATTGTATGATTACCGATAAAAAGAGCTTTTAATATAAAGATTTCAGTCAGAGAGAATGCAGAGGAAAGACATCTGAGGACGTTAGCCATGTAAACTGCCACAGGGATGCTAGCGTGGAAGCAGAGGCTGAGGTGGGCTCTCTGTAGGGTATTTCTAGCAGAGGTGAGGACAGCCGAGTCCCGGCGTGCCAGGGACAGGTATCGGAGTCTGAACACCACAGATGAACTTAAATTAGGGCAAGTAACGAGGTATCAGGGCTTGTGCCTACGTGACTGGGAATTCTAGGAGCATCGTGACTCTATTTCACGCAGACAGATCCGTCTCAGAAAAGCAGTTTGTTCCGCTTAATCGGGCGGTGGTGGAGAGGGGATGGGATGACTTTGCGACCGCCTCCTGGAAGCGGTTTTGGTAGGACCACGGCAGCGTTGTCCCAAAAAGCCAGGGTTCTTGTACCCGGTGTGCAAAGAGCCGAATAACACCCTGTGTTAATTAGGATAGTTCACTCATGGTTCAAGCGATTCTCCCTTCGGCTTTATCGGTGGCCTTGTTTTCTCGTGCTTATCGTGGTGTCTCCTTGCTGGACTGTTCTGTGGTGTCCTCCTGTTTCCTCTCTCGGGCCAGGTCTTGGTAACTGTTCACAGAGGTGGATTAACATCCTCTGCCTTAACATCCTTTGTCTCATTTCTCGCGTATCTCCAACAGCAGGGCCGCACCCCCTGGCTACACGCGGGCCGTGACTGGATGTAGAAGCGCCCGAAGCCCCGGGGAAGCCCGAGCTCTGCAGCAGCC